TATATCATCGTTAAATTTTATCTTATAAAACCAGTGGAACTTCAAAATCGTTAAAATTCATGGCTCCCGCCGCATTGCGCGGGTACACAACTAGTATATATATATATGAATGTTCAGATTGTCATATATATATATATATATATATGACAATCTGAACATTCATAATCACAAAATTGCCACGAGACTTCTCAATAATCACAAAATTGTCATCGTACAACTTTGGACCATTAGATCGTTAGCTTATAAAGTTGATCAATAAACATAAATTGGTTTTACGAGTCTTACGAAAAACCTTTGGTCTCACGTGAACCCAACCATATATTGTAACTAAAATTAACTATTTAATCCAAAATGAATTTAAAGTAATCATAAATAAAAAAAACCATGTAAAGAAAAAGTTGTCATCCTCTTCTTTATATAATCACCCTCAATGTTCTAACATCTTTTATCAATGTGACATGGACAAAATTAACTATAATTCAATATTTTGGGATTCTCAATCTACATTGTGTCATATCATGTCTTTTGATTCTTACCTATAGATTATATATTTATAGATAAAAAGATTTAAAAGTTTATTATATTATTATATGTAACTTACATATAAAAAGTAAATGAAAGATTTATTCATTTAATGATATGTTTTTTATTTTAAATAATTCAAAAATTGAAAAAAATGGCAACTAATAATTCTAACTCTTTCAAGGTCAAAAGCGTCTAGAGGTCCTAGGTTCAAATCCAAGAAAGAACAAAATCCCCTTGTGGCCACGGAGGTTCAAATGCGGTGACTCCGGGCTACTTGCAAAGCGGGTGGTCGTTCTGGGATTAGTCGGCTCGCATAGCGGGTTGAATATCGAGGTTAATAAAAAAAATGAATTAACACATGGATCTTGAAATTATACAAAATCATTCTTATTTCTTTCTCTAAATTAATCATTTATGTACAAATTCTGTAATTGGTACAAGTTAAAATCGATATAAATCCTAACAGCTTTTTGATTTTAGAGATTTCCCATCATAATACATCTTCAACACATTGTCCAATATGAGATAGTCATATATTCAACTTAATCTATAAAAACAATAAATTCAGTCTTGGGATAATTCATCTCCAACATTTGCCTAATTTCTCAAAGTTGAAAATTTAAGATCCACATTGGTTTGTGAGACTATCATAGGCAATTCAGATAAAACAGACCATATCTCGATGTCTCCTGCTCAAAAACCCGATCAATCCAATGCTAAATAATTCAACCTGAAGCAACCCGATATCTAATGGTGTTTTTTAAACCATAGGTATTAGATTGATATTATGTTACTATTATTTGAATCCAACCCAAACCGATGAACCCGATATCATTTTATTTCTAATATATAGATTTAGGCAATTACACTATCACATAAGTTTTTTATATACACATCTTTTCAATCTATTTACATCTCTATAAACTCATTCGTACATATGTTCAGTAACTGTAAACATATAAATGTAAATTAAGAAAATTAATTGAATGTGATATACGTAAAAAGTTGACAATGAAAAAGAAATTATAAGTAGAGAAACAACATATTCGAGATTAAAATAATATTTTAATATACCAAAGTATCAACCCAACAAACCTGACCAGCCCGTACAATTTTGGGTTAAGATTTTTCAAACCATAAACATTGGATTGGATTGTTCAAATGTTTTCAAACCCAATCACCCCCGACCTATAAACACCCCTGCCTCCTATCCATGAGCTCTAAGTCCACACACATAAAAACCTCCTATCTATGAGCTCAAGTCCACACACATAAAAACCTCCTATCCACACACATAAAAGTGACAATAGGATGCCAATTCTACTCCTCTTTGTACCCAAATTCCAATGCGAATTGGGGTTTTTTCAAATGCTTCATTCTCATCTAATTTTACTCCATTTACTTGCTTCTTCAACATAAAATTAATATACAGATTTGAGTAGAAAGAAATAAAAGGAAACTCAAACTTATACTTGCATTATTACTTTAAACATCGTAACACCCACATAAACACAAAACACACCCACATAAACATGTAACAAAATATAGATGACAAAAAGCAATAAAAATGGACATTATAGTCACCCCATCTTCTCTTGCTTTCTAGCTCCTCAAGTCTGGTAGTGCCCCACTCATCCACCCGCCTGCTCCGCTCTCCCTTTCATCTCCCGAGCCCTGTAACCCAACTTGTCCCTAGCTTGATCCAGTGAGTCCGCCCCGGGTGGATGCCCACCAGTTGCGTACTTGTAAATCCACGATAACACCGTCACTGCTGCCACTCCAAACCCTCCCGACGTTAAAAACCCAGTTAACAAAAGGAAGACAGTGATGGCCGCCGGGACCAGCACCGGACTGAATATTACCAGAAGTGGAGTAGCCACCGTCAATGCAATAATAGTGCCGGCGAGTGTGAGACCGGAGAGGAGGAGGAGAGAGCCACCGGCAGTGGCGGCAGTGGCTGCCTTTACTACCTGGTGGGACCGGTTGGGATCCCACTGCTGGTGCATTCCTCCGCCGCCGTGGTGTTGCATTATTCCTCCTCCGTAGTGTTGTGGGTTGTAGGCCTGATCAGTCATTTTTGCAGATGAATGAAAAAGATTTGTTGGTGGGTTTGAGATGAAGACGGGAGTGGTCGGGGTGTATAAATAAAGGAGGAGGTGGCGGTGGAGTGGGACGTGTTGAAGGAAGGATGTCACGTGTTAGTAGAGACGCTTGTAAAAATGACACGTGGACTTTGGTGTCCCAATTGGCTTTAATTTGCTTGTTGAGAAGGCCGAGGGGCTAAAGTTAAAATCATTTTATTCTTTGAGGGCTTATTGCAATTTCAAAATTAATAAGTAAAAAAGTAAATTACACTTTTGGTCAACTAATTACATTTTTAATTATTGTAGTGTGATTCTTTTTTTGAATTTGGTCCCGATAGTTGCCATTTTGATTCTAAGTTGGTCCATTTCATTATCTCTATTAAAGAAACCCAATTAAGCTTGAAAATGGTCTTTTTAATTCTTTTATCTTCTTTCCATTAGAGTCGTTTCTTTTCCCGTTTAAATAGATTCTAATGTACACATGTGTTTGAGCATGCATGTCAACAATTGATGCACGCTATCTTCTTGATAAACCCTCAGCCCCACCCCCTTCGGTCATTTATTTGGTGCAACCAAAATTTAAAAAACCCCACCTGCCAAGCCCCATATCTAAATTTGAAATCTAAATCTAATTCAACAAGCAAAATAAAATGAACTTATGCACGTGTTGACTGAAATTGTCAATCAAATTTATTGAAATGTTTTGATTCATCTACAACATTATACCCATTCTTACCACAAGCTTTTAATAATGTTAAAAAAATTACATGCAACTCTAACAACTATTCTCTTTTAATAATTTTAGCATTAATTATTTTAATAAAATATTCAATACATTTAACAAAATATAATTTTTCTCAATTGCATATTTAATTTCAATAAATTTAATTGGTTGGATATTGTGACATCCATCACTCTTGGAGCATCAGGTTAGCACATTTGTAGAGTACTTATATTTAGAGCTATATTTATTTAGGATCTAGTCATGATTGATTATAATTCATCTGACTTAGTTCCCAAATTATAGTTTAGTGAACTTGTTTCGACAAGTAGCAGATAAAGTTAACTTATGTGATGTCAAAATATATTATCAAATGCTCCAAAAATAATAAGTTGATATTATAAAGTCCAAATTAAAAATATAAAAGTCTCATTTGAATGCCCAAATAATATGGCCAAAAAAGGTGAAGTTATAACAATAATAATATCTTTAACAAATTGTATTTTGATATAAATCTAATGGGCCATAAATTGTTTAAAAGAAAAATAATTTTAAATGGACTTGGGCCTTTGAGGCCGGCCCATTTCTTTTCTTAAATCCCTCATATAAATACCTCGATTTCTTTGAAAATTCTCATTATCATCTCCACTTTGCATAAATCCCTCATCTCCCTACTCTCTCTCTAGAACTCAATCTCCAGCCGATTTCACCTTCTAGCGTCATTAAGAACTTAATCCGCCTTGAGGATTATTCAAGTTTTTATTCAAAAGGTAAGGGACTAGCTTCATTATTCCTGTTCTTCATCAAGATTTCCCCACTTTCTACTTTTTTTCTTGATCTTTTATAAAACGAACTTTCTGGAGAATCTAAGGTGGGAGCTTATACATCAATGACATGAAAATATCTTCCAAATGATGGTAATCTATGATCAGCAAACGATTAGAACTCAAGAAAAGTTGGAAAAGTTACTTGCATGTGGGTTTTTGGCCATAAAGTTAAGTTCTGAACCGTGAAGTTCTAAATGCAAGATTATCGTGTGAAAAGAACATCACTGGCAGAATCTTGCATGCATCTTAAATCGGTTTATTTTGTAAAAACTCGTTTAAAATAGGTGAACCTTCATTTAGAAGCTAGCTGAATGTGTTAGCTTTAAAATAAATTTAAAAGCCTTTGGAAAATGATGAGTTTAGACCCCCAAATGGCCGCCACTCGAAGAGTGTGCAATCTGTTTTGGGGCCTGTGTCACTCAAAAAGGGTAGAGTAATGATGATTACCTTAAACCCATCTTTAGTTCTTGAAATTTGGGAAAAAGTCTGTTTAATTCCTTTTTATGGTGGATATAAAACTTGGACATAAAAAAGAATTGTAGAAGGTTCCTTTTTGGCAATGATTTATGAAGACAAAAATGTCAGATTCAAATGACAGATTTCTTTTGTGTAGAGGAATTGATTACAAAATATACACATTTCAGGATTATTTTTAGAAAAATTAATAAAAATATCAACTTTAATTCATAAAACCCATTGGCATTACATAAAATATAACTTGACCTTATCTCTGTCAATAACCCATAGGTAATCTAATTTCTGGTCATTGGATAGTTTAGGAAGGTTGGGGCAGGACGTTCAGCGCTTGACATCATCAAGTCCTTGGATATTCATCGTCTAACAAGTGAGTTTTTCACGGCCCCACTTTTAATGCTTTTTGTTTATTTAAACTGGGGAAAAAGCATGAAGTTATGCAAACTATACTTTATTGAACTAAAGAACTGTTTAGTCAATGCTTTGTTTATAACCATTGGACTAAAGAACTGTTTAGTCGATACTTTGCTTAAAACCATTGGACTAAAGAACTGTTTAGTCAAAACCGTTGGACTAAAGAACTGTTTAGTCAAGTTTTGTTTACTGTTTTGCACTATGATATAAATGCTAAATTGATGTACTTGGGAGTATGTTTCCAAATAAAGTCCCCGTCCGTAAACGCTACTTGTTAACTCGGGCATGTCCCCGGGCAGTGGTATTGTGGATAGCCGCTATTGTGTTGACAGTCCCACCCAGAAAGGGGTGCACATTACCTACGTTTTTATTGGTCTAATCATGTGGAATTTGGACCACCGCTGAATTAGTACTACTACAAACTGTGGGACCTAAGTGAGTGTACGGGCTACTTATGGTCGTTCATAAAATAATGGGGAACATTGGTCAGGAAAGGCTCAGTAACGTCTCAAGTTTCTGAACATCGTTATAGATTTACATTTATTATGTGCAAAAGTTGCGTATAGTTTTGCAAGAATTGATTTATGCATTGTAACGTTTTGTGCATGTGAAAACCCATGAACTCACCAACTCTTTGTAGTTGACCTGTTTTATGTTTCATGTTTTTCAGGAAGTAAGTAAAAATGAAAATGTTTGGAGCATGATTATGGCGATACCGATTAAGTCCAGAATTGAAGTTTTTGTAAAGAAGTTTTATATTCCATCTCGATTATGGATGTTAAATTTGAACTTTTGTAAAATTTGAATGATGTTATTTATTATATGCTGTTGTGACACGTTTACCTATTACACCTCGTATTTTCGCTTTAACGGGGTGTGATAGATATGCTTAAAATATTGTTTTTTAGAATTTCTCTAAATTTAGATATTTTTATAGCCTCTTTCCCTTTTTCCTATTCTAGCATTGAGGGTAGCATAGCTGTTGGAACAATAAAAATGCTAAAATCTCTTTTTTTTCTTTCTATTTTAACATAACTATTGAAGATGCTCTAAATCTGAGGAACAATATGAACAAGCAAATCGAAAACCCTAAAAATCCAAATAGGAACGTTCATCCAGGTTACGGCTGCAAATTGAAAAAATCCAAACAAAAAACCTCATTGCTCACAGTTGAAACATAAATCCAAACCAAAGACCTCGAAAAAATCTAACTAAAAACGTTTGTTGGTCTCGTTGGTAAATGTTGCAGTAGAAATTGGAACCCAAATCATCATAGCTTAAATTGGTTATAGTCGATTGATTGCATAAAAGAGATTAAAATCAAATCCCAAACATTATATATGCAGCAAGGGGGCTGGACTTGTTCATCAGGTGTGTCAACGGGGTTGGTTATTTTGTGTGCGTGATGAAGATTGGATAGGGTGATGGAAACATTATATATATATATATATATACACGTAAATATATAGACTTGGGATTATGTGAGACCAAAGGTTTTTCGTGAGATCCGTAAGACCAATTCTTAGCCCTTGGATTAGATCTACAATATGACAATTTGAACATTCATAAACGCCACGAGACTTCTCAATAATCATAAAATTGCCACCGTGTAACTTTAGACTATTATATCATTAGCTAATAAAGTTGATCAACGAACATAAATTAGTCTTATGGGTCTCACGTGAACCTAACCCTACATATATATAATATACATATATACTTACATACATACATATATATATATATATATACATACATATATATATACATACATATATATAGATATATATACATACATATATATATATGATAAGTCCAGAAATTATACAAATATGATATGATCTTCAAGAATCAAGATGAACATAAAAGTAGAGAGAGAATTATCAAAGAATGATTAGATTGAGAGAGAGAAATTTACAGCTCTAATCTTGATTATAAATCTGCTAATGACTTCGTTAATGACAATTACAAAGGAAAATACTATTTATACTAGGAATAGAAAAACTACACTATTACATAATAAAACTATTCTAAGGAGAAACTTGAATACAACTTTAAAGCTCTAACTTGAACCCAACATTCTCCCCCTTTGGATTCAAGTTTGGACTCTTGTGAATTTCGTTTTGCGCAGTCCAAGAATCTTCTCCAACCTTCTCAGAGCATTCCTATATTGGATATTTTCCTCGAGCAAGTTTATTTCATTGATCAACAAATATTTTTTATTTAGAACTCATCCATTCAGATTCAGCAGCTTTATCGTTCATCACCCTCTTCAAGTCAAGTGCCCTTCTCACTAATTTGATCGTACCGTCAGAATATTTATTCAACTCGCTAAACCTCATGAACTTCTTTACTTGTAGTTGTGCAAAATAGACAACCCCGAACTCTGGGCTTTCAAGAACCATATGCACTGGATAGCCTTCAATGTCTTCTAGGTCTTGATTTGGTTTTTTAAGATTGATGATTCGCTGATTGTCTTCAAGCCCCATCTGTACATCAATGACCATTGTCAGTTTCACATGACATCGTATAAACCTCTTGAYTGCTTCAAGAGCAACCAATTCTCCTTCTT